TCAGAAGCCATACATGGTTTCCCATTTACGGTCGCTTTTGAAGTTCGATACTATAACAAAGAAAAACGTACGTATGAGAAATTTGAACAGGGAAAACTTTTACAAGTGAATTTGCTTGTAAACTTAGAAACAACTCTTCAAGCTTTTCAAGAAAAAATAAACGATATCTATCTCGAATATGCAAAACAGTACAACATTGACGAAGGAGAATACCATCTCGATATTGTTTATGACAGGAAAAATGCAACTGTTAAAATCAATAGAATAGAAGACCTTGGAGAAAACGTTTATATTTCTACAAAATATAACAACTTGGCATGGTATAGGTTTCTGAGGATGTTAAATCAGCCTGCAGAATATCCAGTACACCCGGACTTTTATGAAGTCGAAAACCCTAATGGAACATATGAAAATGTTTTCGACTCAGATGCTATTATCGTTCATGCTTCATTTTCTGGTGCACAAAACTCTTTTTATGCTTGGCAAATGACTTTTACGAAAAACCTACAAAGCTATATGAACCACCGAGTGGAAGTATTTCAGACTTTCAAGTATGGTTTACAACAGATGGAAGAAAGAGAATAGTTCCATTATATCATGCGTTTTACTTAGAACTTAGTCTCATATACAACTACTATCGAACGGTAAAAATATAATTTTAATACGGTTGAGGTGTTGGATTTGGTTGCCAACTAGACTGTGGTGCAGGTTCAGGCTGTTGTATAACAGGAGCTTGTTCTTCTGGTTCAGGGTCTTTAGGTATAATACCAACGAACTGACCTACTCTTTTACCAATATTTTTGACACCGTTCCAAATTCCTCTTCCTACGGTTTTTATTCCATTCCATATACCTCTTCCAACATTTCGAAAGAAGTTTCCTATTCTTCCAAAGAAACCCATTTTACTATATGTAAAAATCTAATGTCCGCCTAGTCTCTTACGTTTCCTGTTGAGTTCCATAGCATTCTTTAACTGGAGCTCATACATTCTGTTTCTCCTCTGGTAGAAAACATATTCTGGGTCAACTCCTGTGTTCGCGTCATCTGCATAAAGTTGTTTATATCCCACTTCAGGGTTTGTATAAAACTCTTTCCATCTCATATTTGCATACCATGGTGGCAAACCTAACGCAGCGTCATTTGACATGGCAGTTTGCATTTGTACATCTGTTGGCACTTGACCATAGTTTGCCATTGCAGTTTGTATTCTAACTTCATTCGGAATATTCTCTGGGTTTGGTTGTCCAGGTTGCTGTGCATTCGCTAAGTTCTGTGCGTCCATTTAATATTAGATAAAAATATCTCTTACGAGTACATATGCTGAACATTTGCTGGTATTGGTTCATCTTCATATTCTCTATATCTTTCTGCCACGTCAAATAAGTAAATGACACAATGGAAAAAACCTAAAACAAGTAGTCCTATTTCAAACCACATTTACTTACCAATAAAATTTCTTTGTTATGACACTTTCTCCAGTTTATAGGACCTCTCTCATATTCTATCTTATCGTATCTAAAATCATAGTCATGTATATCCTCTAACCATCTCATAACGGTTTCCAAACCACTTTTATCGGATGTAAAGTAAAAGCATGGATGGTTATGTAAAACGTCTAAAGTTTCTAAAGAGTCTCTCAAAGTCCAGTCTGCTTGGTATTGAAAATCGTATGTGTTATAGAACGGCGGGTCTACTATAAAGAAAACATTTTCCTTGTTTTTATATTTTTCATACAACTCTGTCCAACGACATCTCACAAACTCTATACCCTCAGTATATTTTTCTATGTTCTCTTTGAAAACCTTTGTATAGTTAAGATATAAAACGTTTGACATAAGTGTTTCAATGTCATGAACTCTTATAGAACCACTATACAATAGTCTAGAAGATATACTATCCCAGTCAATATACTCTGCTTTTTTCAAAACCTCTCTCACAATATTTTTCTTATCTAATGGTATACGTTCCATCTTACCTATAGGTATCTTTTCTTTTAACTCTTTCAATATTTTGTTTGTGTCTGGTATATGTTTGAGACGGTTCATATAGTTGTCGAAGTCATTGCATATAATCTTTGAGTCAGGAAATACAGTATGGCACAAATGAGATATATAGAAACTTCCACCGAACAAATCTACAAATGTTAGACCATTCGGTAGTTTCTTAAGTTCTCTCAATAGAATATCTTTACATCTACTCTTATTTCCAAAGAAGGGTAGCGGTGGTTTTGTAAAATTCATTTTATATACAATAAAAATGTTTTTTCCCTGAAAAGTGACAGAAAAGTGACAAAACATGAAAACTACTCGGTTAAGGTCTTGTCGGTTTTGTAAAATAACCATCCTATCTTGTTAAGACTTCCTGGACTGTTGTCAAAATGTCATGTTGTCTCATTTTTTCAGAGAAGTTCGTTTAACCGAGGGACCGAGGGACCTGGTGTTATACTAAACATCTTCAGGGGGCTAGAGGGGCGCAGCCCTGGAAGCCCCAATACCTTTTTTTTTTTTTTTTTTAAATGGAGCAAAATAAATATAAAAAATTTTATTTATCATGGTTTTAAATAATATAAATGTATTTTTTACGTTAAAATGATTGTACAAAGATACGACATAATGCTATATATGTTAAAAACAGTATAATGATATAAAGTTTGACAATTTGGCTTAAAATAGTAAGAATGGTAACATACACCAGTTTCATAGCTTTTTAGGGTGGTTGTGCTTTTACCAAAGAAAGAAGAAGGACCGTCTTCAGCTACATAAATCGAAACAGTTGAATTAGTATAGATATAAGAGTCTGCAGGGGTGGAAGCAAGTACACTTCCCCAGAAGTATATCGTTAATGTATTTGAATATATACCACCCAGGAAGCTTTGTCCAATTGACTTTAATTTTGTGCCAAATGGGAAAACAAGCTTTTCGAGATATTTAAAATGAAAAAGTCCTTCTCTTTCGATGGTAGTGATTGTAGGTGGAAGAACAAGAAGTTTAAGATACAGGTTTCGAATCCCATTTTGACAAATTTTTGTAATTGGAGCGAATATTATTAATGATGTGAGACTATATAAATCTTGGATTGCAGCTGGGCCGATTTCTGTAATAGGATATCCTTGATATTTTACTGGAATTACTAATTTATGGGCATGGCATTCAAAGCGACCATAAAAAACATTTCCTTTATGGTCCAAGACTCTATCACCTACTACATAGTGATCAACATCAAAAGTATATGCAATTGAGCATAAGTCTATGCTTTTCTAAAAACCTAAAATCTTTGTAAACTTCTCAATCCAAAATCTCGCCAAATAAATTATATGAAGGATTTAAATATATTTTTATGCTGAAATAATAATTGGAATCAAATATATTTTTGTGTCGAAATCCTAACCAAACATCCGGCCAATAATAGGACATGATGGCACATTTGAGCCTATCTATCTAATAAGTCTCTTTAAATATACAGTTTACTAACAAAATCAAAGTAAATTATGAAGAAATTTCATATTTGATACATTAAAAAAAGTTTCTTTCTTTACACAGTATTTCAATAATTTTTCATCTTAACTCAGTACTTAATTTTCAGTTAGAAATACTGCAAATAATAAAAATTTTAAATAATTTGTTTATTCAAACAGAGTTATGACAAAATAAACATAAGCAAAGATAGGGATTTAAAGTATGAAGGAGAATAATGACAATTGCAAACACTTTGGTAAACAAGGGAGTGAATATATGTGATACGAGCTGTACCTGGACCCGTATGATCTGATTCTCGAGTGATCGCTTTATAAAATCCACACGATTTCACTTTATCAATTGATCCAGATCCACCACCACCACTATATTCATTCCCTGCACCTTCTCCATACTTTCCTCCACCTCCTGCGCCAAAATATCCGCCATAACCAATTCCTAAACTTCCACATCTATTTGAGACACCTTCAGTACCGGTTTGAGTGCCATAGCAAGCGGTTTTTGTAGAGTTTGTAGTTCCTTTGAGTCCACCTCCATTTCCTGCTCTTGGATTATATGCAGAATGGCAATAAGTACCCCCTCCACCGCCAGCAATTATGATCCTAGATTCAAAAATTTCATTCCAATTTCCAGGACTTGTTCGAAAATCAGTGGCACCACCTCCTGGACCATCAAATTCATAGAATCTCTCACCACTTCCATTATATGTCTTTTGAGTTATATTATCTGAAACTTGAGAAGAACCTCCTAAATGGAGATAAATTGTTTTATCATAAAATACTTTGTAAACTCCGGAGGAATAGCCTCCATAGCCTCCTTTAGCGGTACAACTCGTAAATGATGTTGATGTTCCCCCTTGTGCACCCCATACTTCTAGGAAATATTCACCTTTTTTAAGTTGAATTTCGTAAGGAGAACAATCATATGGCGATGGACAAGGATATTGAAAATCTAATGAGAAATGATCATCATCTGCTGTTACTTTTAATGACTTTCTATGCGATACACTGAAGATACCATAGAAATTATCAGTTTGAATACTCTTGAAAAAATGAAATTGAATATCGTAAAATTTCACATTCAAACTTTGAATGCCTTAATTTAAAAACAACCACCGAATTACTTCAATATCAATATTAAAAATATACTCTGAACTTTTTCTGAGCCGTGCTCACAAAAATGTTCAGAGTATATTAGAATACAATCACTTCAAATTGTTATGGGCATTACAAATTCATGAAAAAAATTGGACCCAAAAAATTTGAATTGAAGGGTATTGTTATATAGTGCATTTACATTATTTTTCCTCACTCCAATATTCAAATTTATCGGACTAAATATTATGTTTATTCGAAAAGAGTTATGTATAAATAAAAACATATATTGAAAGAGAAATAAAGTATGAAAGAGAATAGTGACAGTTACAAACACTTTGGTAAACAAGGGGGTGAATATATGTGATGCGAGCTGTACCTGGACCTGTGTGATTTGATTCTTGAGTGATCGCTTTGTAAAATCCAGATGATATCACTTTATCAATCGATCCAGATCCACCACCACCGCCACCATATTGATTGCCTGCACCTCCTCCATACTCCTCCCTCCTCCACTGCCAAAATAACCTCCATAGCCCTTACCTAAACTTCCTCGTCTTCCTGAAATTCCATCGTTTCCAGTTTGAGTGCCATAACATGCGGTTTTTGTAGAGTCTGTTGTTCCATTAATTCCACCACCATTCCCTCCTGCAGGATTATGTTCTAAATAACATCCAGAACCCCCTCCCCCGCCAGCAATTATAATTCTTGACTCAAATGATACATTCCAATTGCCAGGGCTTGTTCGAAAATCGCTTGCCCCGCCTCCTGGAGCATCTCTTATATTTTCGCGATAACCACCTCCGTTATATATTGTTTTTTGATCGTCTTCTGATAATTGAATGGTTCCTCCCAAATGGAGATAAATTGTTTTATCATTAAATACTTTGTTAACTCCGGAGGAATAGCCTCCAAAGCCACCATTGGCGGTACAATAAGAGTATGCTGTCGATTTACCTCCTTGTGCACCCCATACTTCTAAAAATATTCGCCTTTTTTGAGTTGAATTTCGAAAGGCGAACATTCGTATGGGGAGGTACAAGGATATTGAAAATATAATGAGAAATGAGCATCATCTGCTGTAACATTTAGTGAATTTGCATGAGATACACTGAAAATTCCATAGAAATTATCAGTTTGAATACTTTTGAAAAAATGAAATTGAATATCGTAAAATTTTATCTCTCAATTTTTGAATTTGTGGTTGAATTAGAATACTATTAAATCAATGCTATACGAATTAAAATTCAAACTATATAATTTTCTATAAAATTACGAAAATAATTTGAAGATTCCGAAAAAAAGTTTGTTAGAATAGTAATTTTTTATGCTAGTATATAAACAAAGAACAATTGCATAAAATTATTAAAGCAATAAAGAGTTCTGTAATTCAAAGTATTACAATTTGGTTCAAAATAATAAGAAAGATAGCATAAACCCGAATCAGAACTTTTCAACGCTGTTGTACTTTTCCCAAAGAAAGAAGAAGGACCATATTTCGGAACAAAGACTGTAATAGTTGCATTTGTTTTTTCAAATGGACGTATTGCACTTGCGACGAATAAATTACCGCAAAAGTAAATGGAAACTGCTTCAGAATATATTTGTCCGAAAATACTTTTTCCAACTAAAGTCAGATTTATTCCAAAAGGAAAAATAATCTTTTCTATGTAATTGAAATGAAAGATTCAATAATCTTCGACTGTTGTAAGCGTAGGAGGAAATACTAGTGTTTTGAGATATAAATTTCGAACACTGTTTTCGGATATTTTTGAATTTGGAGCTAAAATTATAAGAGATCTAAGATTACCGGCATCTTGGAGTGCAGCTGAACCGATTTCGGTAATAGGATATCCTTTGTATCTCTCAGGTATTATTAATTTCTTTAAATAACACTTATAAGCACTATAAAATCCATTACATTTGTGGGATATGTTTCTATCTCCTAGTACATAGTGGTCTGTATCGAAAGTGTATACAATATCACAAGGATTAGGAATCGAAATTAGTTTACAAATATAAAGGGATCAGAACATTATATTTAAGTGGCTATTCTGGAAAAATATAGCAAAATCCGAGAAAACTCATCTAGAAATAAATTCTAAACAAGATTTAAGTGATAAATTATATTTTTTTATGATAATAAGATGGAATATAAGTATTTCATTATAGAGTAAAAGTTGCATACATAATTATGATTTAAAGTTCGACATTTCTGTTGATTATAGTAAGAAAGATAACAAAAACCTATATTAGAGCTATTCATTGTTTTCGTGTTTCTCCCAAAGAATGAAGAAGGACCATTCACTGGAACATAAACCGTAATTGTTGCGTTTGTTATAAAAAATGGATCATTAGCAGTGGTAACAAATAAATTTCCACAAAAGTATATCGAAACAGCCGTTGAAAATATAGCACCAAGGAACCAACTCCCTATGTAAGTTAGATTTGTACCAAAAGGAAAAATTATCTTTTCGAGGTTTGGAAAATGATACACGGCGGAATCTCCAATTGTTGTGAGGGTTGGTGGAAGTACTAACGTTTTCAATATTAGGTTACGAATTCCATTTTCATGAATTTTAGTAATTGGGGCTAATATAATAAGGGAGGTTAGATTTGGCGGATCTTGTAGTGCAGCTGGCCCAATTTCAGTAATAGGATATCCATTGAAACTCTCCGGGATAATTAATTTCTCGATGCTGCATGAAAATCTACCGTAAAATCCATTTAACTTATCTAACAAATTACCATTACCTAGAATATAGTGATCTTTGTCAAACGTATAAACAAGATCACAAGGATTAATGTTACTAAAGCTTTTTTATTTATAAAAAAGATTCCATTCAAATTTGAAAACCTTATCAAAATTTACAACAATATTATTATACATATACAGCTAATGTTTTTTTTAGCTTTCTTGAATGTTGCGAATAGGAAAAATTTAATAACCAAATGCAATGAGTAGCAACCTGCTGTCCAAAGGTGACATTTTTGGGATCAATATTCAACGTAGGAGCCTTTCTGTAATTCTTTTCAGACTTATTCTAATGATGTTGTTGTGTCTACGAATTCTCCTCATTAATATCAACAAATGTATCTAAACAAACCAAATTTGTATTTGGTATATTCATATATTGTTTTTATTTCACTAAAAAAAATCAATAAAAAATTTTTTTATTAAAAAAACTTCCTATGTAAAAACGCCACAAAAAAATTGTTGATGTTTTGTTTGTTTATCTTGCCTTTGATGCAACTCTACGAGTTGTAGCAGCATGCTTTGGCTGATAAGCTGGAGCCTTTGGCTTGATTGGCCATGGAGCAGCATGCTTTGGCTTTGTCTTTGGAGCAGCATGCTTTGGAGCAGATGGTTTTACAGCTGTCTTTGGAGCAGCATGCTTTGGTGCTGTCTTTGGAGCAGCGTGATCTCCTGGAGACTTCTTTCCTACCTTAACCATTCCGTGCTTGTAAGAAATTTCACCCTTAACCTTCTTTCCAACACTTCCTCCAACAGTAACTTCGTGATCTCCATATGTTCCTGTCACTTTTCCACCAACTTTTTTCTTTGAAGCTTCAGCTTGTACAGAGATACCCTTCTTATCATCCTTAGCTGTGAATTCACCTGAAACTCCCTTCTTTCCAGCAGCACCCTTTACTGTGAAATCTTTCTTTCCATCCTTAAGAGAAAGTTCTCCATCAACACCTTCCTTGGAAACACCGCCGGAAACTTTGAATCCGTGCTTTCCCTTCTTGTCTTCCTTCATTTTTTCAACATGGCCTTTAACTGTTGTTGCGCCAACGGCACCACCAATTTTGAATGTGTCTTTCTTGTTACCTTTCTTTGTCACTTTTCCATAATCAGCATCTACGTAATGATCACCTAAAGTCATACTTGCTGAGTGTTCTACATATCCATGCTTAGTCATTTGTCTGTGCTTTCCATGACCGCCTACGTGGATTCCTTTCTCTAATGTAGCGCCTCCGTGGATACCGACTGTTGTTGTTTGTTTCTTTGTCTTTCTTGTGTAATCAGCTTTTCCTGTGATACCTTCTGTATCAACTTTTGCATCTAATCCGATCTTGTGGGAATCTCCCTTCTTCTTGGAGTATTCGTATGATGTGTCACCCTTGAGTCCTTTGTCTGTCAATGACAATCCACCACGGACTGTATGTGTCTGGCCCTTCTTTGTTCTGAAAGTGGTTTGACCATCTAAAACGGCACCTTTTGTTGTTGAGAAATCTTGTTCTGTCTTTGTTGTTCTTGTTGTTCCATCCTTTTGGCGTGTGACCTTTGTGGCCTTGCGTTCAACACCAATTAAATCTGTGGACAAGCCTGATTTGGTGACTGACGTCTTTGTAGATGTCTTGTCCTTGATTGTCTTTGTTGTTGTGCGCTTGACACCGTGGAGTGTGAAATCTGTCAATGACCTCTGCTTTGTGATCTTGCCACCTGGGGATTTGATGGTTTTCTCTGTAACTAATTCCTTGCCGCCTGGAATGTCAACGAATTTCCTCTTGACAGTGACTTTGTCGTGTGGAACATAGCGTGATCTGATGTAATGATGGGCAACTTTTCCGGCATGAGCGGCTGTTCTCTTTGTGGCATGAACGGCCTTGCCTGTGGCTTTCTGGGCGGAATGGATGGCATGAGATGTTGACTTTTGGGCAGATTTGATGGATTTGACAGCGGCCTTTTTGGCTGTTTGAGCTGTACGAGCAGCAGCCTTCTGTACGGAGTGGACCTTCTGGGCTGTGGCCTTCTGTGCTGTGCGGACAGCATGGGAAGTAGCCTTTTGAGCGGATTTGACTGTTTTCTGGGCAGAACGAATAGCTGTTGTAGCGGCCTTCTTGGTTGTTTGTACTGGATGGCGGATTGGTGTTGGAGCACGTGCAACAACCTTCTTTGCTGTTTGAATTGGATGACGAATTGGAGTTGTCTTATGAACAACGGCCTTCTTGACGGCTCTTACTGGATGTGAGACTGTCCTCTTAATTGCTTTGACTGGAGCCTTAGCAACGGCCTTCTTGACAGCTTGTACTGGTCTGCGAATTGGAGCCTTGGCAACAGCCTTCTTAATAGCCTGGACTGGCTTGCGGACTGGGGCTGGCTTTCTAACTGGAGCAGCACGGCGAACTGGAGCTGGTCTACGGACTGGAGCTGGTTTTCTAACTGGAGCTGGTCTGCGGACTGGGACAGCACGACGAACTGGAGCAGCAGCTCTTCTGACAGCGGAAGCAGCTCTTCTAACTACTTTTGGTGCCTTGAAATTTGTTTCAAAAGCATATTCGTAGTCGTTGGATTCGTATTCATCATCGAAGTACTCGATATCGTTAGATTCTGGGTCATCGACGTATTCGATGTAGTTGCTTTCGTATTCTGGATAATAATAATTCTCATCATATTCATAAATGAAATTGTTGCTTTCGTAACTTGGTCTGTAGTATGTTCTGTATTCATATTCACCTTCGTTAACGTCTAAATCAAAGTCAAAATCATAAGAGTTTGTAGCTTCGAAGTTTTCTTCATAGGAATATGTCTCATAGGAGTAGTCTCCTCTGACTTCAAATGTGTGGTTGAGGAGCTGCTTCTCTACGGAGAGAGAAAAGCCGGTTAAAAGTAAAAACATTGTATTGAGAAATTAATCTTTGCAGTCAATTTTGTCAGAAACGGTTTTCGATCAGAAATTATTTTAGAGAACTAAATACAAATCATTCCCAAACATGATTTCTAGTATTATTTTGATAAGATCCAACTGTAATTTCAGATTCAAGTACTCAAATTTCTTTTGATAACCAGATTCTATAATTAAGAATTTAATAATAATCTCATTATTATTTATTTTTGGTCGGATAAAATTATCCAAAATGCCACTTTTTTGCATGTCAAAAAAAGCTCAATCATTTTAAGTTGTTAACTACGCGGAACAACAAAGCATATATGTGAGTTTAAAATATATAATTTCGAAATAGTTTGAATTACGTTCATCAAAAATTCAAAATTCAATTCTTCTTCCGAAGAATTTAGGCGTGAAATCTAATTTAATAATATTATACATCTGGAGAGTGAGTTGAAACCCCTCTGAACACATGATCTAGTCGTTGGATAATCATCAATTACCACTCAATACTCAATGTTAAGCTAGAGTTGTAATAATTGTGCATAACATTCAGAATCAAAATATGAATGGACTTCAAAATTTGCAATAAATGTAAATTTTTATTCATTTTTAGAGTCGCATAATATAAAGATATATATAGAACTTAAATAAGAAAGCGTACAACGACAACGGAATATACTTTTATAAACCCTTGAAGAAATGTATGTGATACGTGCTGCACCTGGACCTGTATGATTTGACTCTCGAGTGACAGCTTCATAATTCTCGAGTGAATAAACTTTATCAATAGACCCAGACCCACCACCTCCGCCGCCATACTGATTACCTGCACCTCCTCCATACTTTCCTCCACCTCCTGATCCATAATATCCGCCATAGCCTTGACCTAAACTTCCACATTTATTTGAAACTCCTTCAGTTCCGTTTTGAGTGCCGTAACAAGTGGTTTTTGTAGAGTCCGTTGTTCCTTTGAGTCCCCCGCCATTCCCTCCTGAAGGATTATTGCCAGAATGACAGTAATTACCTCCACCACCGCCAGCGATAATGATTCTTGATTCAAAATTTTCATTCCAATTTCCAGGACTTGTTCGAAAATCAGTCGCACCACCTCCCGTGCCATCACCGATATCAGCTCTCTTACCACCACCATTATACAAAGGTTTAAAAACAGATTCTGATTTTTGTAAAGTAGCTCCCAGATGAAGATAAATTAATTTTTCATTAAATGAATTGAATACACCAGAGGAATAGCCACCAAAGCCACCTTTGGCTGTACAGAATGATTCTGCTGTTGAAGTTCCTCCTTGTGCACCCCATACTTCTAGAAAATACTCACCTCTTTTCAGCTCAATTTTATAAGGTGAACAAATATATGGAGAATCACATGGATATTCAAAATATAATGAATCTCGACTTTTATCTGGTGTAATCCTTAGAGATGAAGAGTGTGAGCCATTGAAAATGCCAAAGTAACTTTCAGTTTGAATGCTTTTTCAAAAAAAATACAAATTGTGCTGTCAGAAAATAAGCCCGAACTGACAAATTAAACCCACACTTTGTAAATAAGTATTTATATGCAAAAATTTTTAAAAAATTTAAACGTTTATTTCACGAATTAAAAACAACCACTACAATTTGTAACAAACAATAATAGAATATTACTAATATCTGTATAAAATAAATGATTTTTATACTTTTAATTCTGTTTCTTTCTCACATGAGATATTTCATCATTAATTTCTGTGATTATTGCCAATAAACAAATTCAATAATAACAAATCATCTCCTATGTGCTATGCTTCTGTGTTTCCCGAAAAATGAATATATATTTGGAAAAGGTAGAGTAATTCTGGAAACATTTGCAATAACTTGGGTCGATAAATTAATCAAATATTGATTTATGATATCTTGTGGTAACAAATTACTAATGCTTTTCTGTGTGAACGTATTATCACAAAATTGAGTTTGATTATAATCATTTGTGACATATATAATACGTGCATGAGAATTAATTTCATTGCATGTTTCCGAATTAGTGATTTCTGTTGATCCTAAAAAAACCATTTCAAAAAGATCTTTGTTCAGGTGCTTAAATGCGTCGTTTGAATTAAAGGTTGATTTTACTACAACCTTTGAATTATAATCCAAACTTAATGAAGCCTTATCTGTTAATGGACAATCAGAGAGATATACGAAAATCGGAATTGGTTTTTGAGTATTAAAAGAACCTTCTCCTATTTCAGTAACACTTGATGGAATAACTAATTGCTCTATATTGCCTGCACCTTCAATAGCGTGATTACCTATTATTTTAAGATTGGAAGATAAATTAATATAATGAAGAGTTCCTATATTTGCAAATGAATAATCTCCAATTGATATGACAGAATTTGGTAGCAGTACATTAGAAAGCGTTGTTTGATAAAATGCATTATTACCGATTGATATCGGACCATACTGAATTTCGAAATTCTTCAATCCACCAATGCCTTTGCAAAAATTGTCAGGAATTTGGAGTGAATTTTTGATTATTAAATTTACAATTTCGCCTCTATAGCCATCTGAAATTGAACAAATATATTATTCATATCTACTGTACAATTTCCGTTGCTGTTTTTGGTATAATCGCAATATTGAAGCATTAATATGCAAATTAGGGAGGTCAATTTCACGAAATATGCACGAAATATAATTTTTTTTCAACGTTACTCTTCAAATATTAAGATTGAGCTATATCATGTAGTGCGATTTGAAAAGAATCTTAATTCAGTCATGTCAATATTTTTCAATGCTCAATTTTTTATGTTATGATTGAAATCGAGATAATTATGGAAAATCTTTATGATTTTGTTAAAGAGGGTTATATTTTTTTTGACAGTTATATGAAAAGTCAAACATGTTTCTGAGATATGCTCTGAATTTTTTTACGATCCTAACATATCATTTTACAATGCCATTAAAATTAATATTTAGTTAAAAAATAGTTAGTTAATGTAATAAGTTTTTATTCTCTCAGAAAAATTTTCGTTGGTAATTACCAATAAAATATGATAAAAATCACCTTCTCTTTACTACAAATTTACCTAATAGCGAGTACAAATTCGAAATTGGATGAGTTTTTCGTTTGACATTTTCAATAACTTCGGTAGATGAGTTTATTTGATTTTTATAACATATATCATATGATAATAAATCATCAAAAATTGTTATAATTACTGATTTATTGCAAAATGTACTGTTTTTATAATTGCTTGTGACATAAATATTACGAGCATGCACATATATATCTTTGCAAGTTTCTGCGTCACTAATATCTGTTGATCCTGTATAATATAAATTAAATCTATTAGAATCTATACCTTTAAAGGCATTTGATGATAAAAAATTCGAATTTATTATAACATTTGAATTATATTCTAAATTTAATGAAGCGTTTTCAGTAAGTTTGCATTTTGCTTGGTAATAGAAAAACGGAATTGCTTTTGTGCTTTTAAGAAAATTCATTCCGATATTAACTACACTTGATGGAATGACTACTTGAGTTAAAGAACCTGCACCTTTCAATGCATATTGACCAATTGATTCAAAATTACAAGATAAATTGATATATTGAAGAGATCCTATGTCAGCAAATGAACAATCTCCAATTGATCTGACAGAATTTGGTAATAGTACATTTTCAAGACTTGTTCCATAAAATGCATAGTTACCAATTGAATTTGGACCATTTTCAATTTCGAGAGAAACTAAACTTCCAATACTTTTACAAAAATTATCAGGTATAGTTAGAGAATTTTTTATATAGATAGATGCAATTGCATTTCGAAAATTATTTGGTATTTCGCATTCTGTATAGTTCATATCTATTGTATATGAATTACTTTTATTATCAGTATAATTACACTCTGTCAGCGACATTAGAGAATTTAGGACAATATTTTATAAATTTAGCATTCAAAATTTGAATTAAATAAGGTCAGAAAATTCCATGTGTATTTAGAATGATTATATGTTGAATATCTGGTTTTCTAGTCTAATTATATTCTTTCTGACATAATAGAAAATTTGAAATGTGTATCGTTAATCCTTTCAATGGACTATTGTTCTCAAAATAAAAGCATGCCGGAAATATCAATGTTGCTATTGTTAAATTGACATTTCCGGAATCCGATTGTAAAGAATTAAGGCAAATCGTAATTAGGTGTAAAATTGATATAAAACACGCTGCATAAAAGTACATAAAATGCTGAATACAAAAATTGACCTGAAAGGTTTAGAAAAAAGAGTGCACTAATTCTGAAGAATTTTCGATTATTTGAATTCAAATTGGAGTTCAAATTAGGAAAATGCTTTTCTTTGATTGTAATGCATATAGGATGTAAACACCTGATGCCTTAGTATCAAAACCTTATGCTAACTGAATATTAATTTTAAAATTATAATTCGCTAACTAAATATAGAGTTGATTATCACATTATATATTAGGGAAAATAATTAATAATCAAAGCCAGCTTAGTTAATAATTTTAATTTGAATTTAATTTTTATTAATTATTAAAAACTAATAGAGACATATGGATCATGAATGATACCATATTCAAAAAATTGCATTCACAGGATAGGTTATAATCAGGAAGTATAGTAATTCTTATACATCCCGAATAATTATTGCCGATTCCATAAGCATATCTACTATAATATAAAGGCATTGATGTGTTTCCCTTTTGCATTGTAGCAGTTTCAAAATAATAACCGGAATAGTGAATGGAACTATTTTTTGTGCTGGGAACTTCAGAATTTTCGTCTTCAAGTGCAATACAGCCGTCATAACCTGAGATGAAAGAGCTTCCACCACCACCGCCGCCTGAATAATCAAAAGATGCACCACTCCAATAACCATTACCTCCAAGTCCGTCAAGATCAATTGAATTTTTCACATAGGCCGCCATTCCGAATAAACCATTGGCATGTTTCCAAAAATCTGATGTAATAAAACCTCCAGATTTTTGTGATCCTCCAGTCGCAAAAACTTCAGGGCAAACAGTGAAATTGTTATAGCAACCAGAAACACCAGTCCCTCCTTCAAGGCCTCCTCCATTCCCAGCTATTGTACCTCTCCATTCTGCGCCCCCTCCACCGCCCGCCACCATTATTCGTGATCGTAATGATACCGGGTCAAACCAATCAAAATTTTCATTCACATAAACACGAACATCGGAAGAACCACCTCCTAAATGAACATTATTATGTGAAATATTCATATTATTAAATATTGAGATTGATCCTATATACAAATATAATGTCGTAAAATTGTGTAGTTGTAAAATTCCGGATGTATAACTGCCTTTTCCCGGTATTGCAATATTATCCCAGCTTTGGCCAATGGAGCCCCATGCTTCAAACCTATATGCACCTGGAGAAAAATTAACAGTGTACAGAGTGCATTCATTCCTTGATGTTCCACATGGATATTCAAATACATATTGATTCCTAGAAACTCTAACTTTTGTCTGGCCAACTCCTTTTTTGCTTAATTTATAGGAAATCATGGAAATTTAGCTAGGGAAAAGATCATTGTTCAATATCCCATTTAGAAAAGAATTGTCACTTTTTAACAAAAAAATTCAATATTTTCTGATTAAAAAAATAAATTACTCATTCTAAACATACAATATTTTTAGTGTTTATTTCGGAACATCGTTAAAAGTGACACATTTATGTTTGCAATAAATGGAATGAAGAAAAAAAGATGGAAAGTACTTCTACTAGTTCCATATCTACTAACACTAGTAGCAACAACTTCCTTAATCATCTTATTTATGACACTTAATGCAAGGAGCAATAATATAAATTTATATAATAAATTTAACAGGCCAATTGATAGTGATAATGATGAAAGACGTGAAAAAATTAAGGATGCTTTCCTTTATGCATGGAATATCTATAAGAAAAATTGTTGGGGATATGATTTTATAAATACAGCAGAACTCAGATGTTTTAGCTATCTTAACAGCGGATTAACTATAGTAGATAGTCTTTCTACGTTAATATTAATGAATTTGACAAATGAATATGAAGATGCAAAAAATTTTGTCGAGAAAAATTTCACATTACGTGGTTCTTGGAAGACGTTTGAAGTAATAATAAGATATTTAGGATCTTTTATATCATCATATGAGTTAACACATGAAGAAGTGTTCAAAAACAAATCGATTATTGTGATGAATTTGATTGATAGTTTACTTGATAAAAATGGATTTCTTTTAGACCAAACAGACTTCAATGATTCAGAAGGTTACATCAAAGTAACACGTAATTATGGTGATACACAATTAGCTCTCCTAGGAACTCTGCAATTAGAATGCCTTTCCATTGCGAAAATCACAGGAAATGATTATTATGTTCAAAGAGGATTGAATTTTTGGAGATATATTTGGAAAATGTATCCAAACGAATCATTTATTTTTGATTCATATCAATACCAAGAAAATGGGTGTCGTGATATCGGAAGAAATACAGATTCTTATTATGAATATATCTTGAAAAGTTATTTATTGACTAATCGGAAATCGAAAACAATCTTAGATAGGCATTTGTTAATGATGAAAGAAATCAAAAGATATATGTATTATTATCATAATGAAACTGATATTTATTTTGTTGGAAAATCATGTTGGAATGTTTTATATGGCGATGATCATCATTTAACAACATTTTTAGGTGGATTAATTGGAATTGGAGCAATTGAAGAAAATCCAAATCGAGATGAAGATTTCGAGATGGCGAAGAACTTAACAGATGGTTATTATAAGATGTATAGGAGATTTAAGACTGGATTGATGCCAGAATTACCCATTTTCCTTGGAAATGGATCAGTTTCTGTCGAATTTAGTTCATATTTTTTGAGACCCGAAACAGTTGAATCAATTTATTACATTTGGAAATTGACAGGAGATAAAAAGTACAGAGAAATGGCGTGGAATATCTTTTTGAGCATTGATAAGTACTGTAAATGTTCTAATGGATATAGTGCAATAGATGATGTAGACTCAGAAAATCCAACAAAAACAGGGTATCAAGATTCATATTTCTTCAGTGAAACGCTGAAATATCTTTACTTGACATTCTGTGATAGAAAATATCTTCCTCTTAGTGAATGGGTCTTTAACACAGAAGGGCATCCATTAAGAGTCTGGTCTGATGAAGACTTCAATCTTCTCAAAACTCATTTGTTTGAATAATCAAAAATGCAAAATAAAATATTATTACAAGGTAATGTGCTAGATGATAAAAACAGATCAAAAATCACGTATTTCCGTTTTTCTCGTTATATTTTACACAGCCAATTATTAAAATCGACTTTTGGCTCGCCCTGTTACGTAACATCACCAGCTTGTATCGCTGGAAAAGCGTATGGCGTGTCTAAAAACAATATTCGGGTTCTTGGCATTATATTTTTCGCTACGGTAACTAGCTAATTACCAGGGACCAAAAAAATTGAATCAGAACTGTTAGAACTCATGTAATACTTAATTGTCAAATATGAATTAATTGTTTCTATTATTTTTTATTTTGTTTAACTCATGTAATTCTCAATACACAAATATGAATTAATTAATATAGTACTCTTGCTTTTTTTTAAGTTAACACTCTATGTCACTGTGGTTAACGTGACATATTACAATATAAAAAAGCTGTTTCATAATGCTTTACCGATTTGCAAATTTGAATGATAATTTCTATAAGAAAGTGACGCTAACGAAAATTTGATTTCAATTTAAATTTTTAGTGAAAAAAATTCAATTAATGCGTCACTTGGGTTATCCTGTAGGTGCAAAAAATGCGTAAAAACGATTATTTTGAATTGAATTTGCGCAAAATTTGCGTATTTTAAAATACCCAGATTTTCCTTACTTTTACCACTCCCCATGTAATTTCTGGGGAAAACGATAATTCATTTTTTTTATGGATGAATAGATCGTTTTCCTAGAAAGGACCTCATATCTCTGGCTAAAAAGAGTGTCAGATCCTAAATAGGTTATTGATCTAGTGTACAAATCCAATAAAAAGCCTATTTTTTTGGCTTTTTTGGTGCTCATTTTTTCGAAGATCTACATGAATATGGGGAAACCATCGGATTTTTTTGGTTAACCCACATCTTCATGTAGTCTGGACTATCTTTCCTCGAAGGACCTCTTTACGGGTGTAAAAACTCATAAAGTTCTCAAAAGATTCATTCTCGATCTCCATGCTGAAAGAATTTACAATAAAAAGAGATCTACGCATCAAACTACAGCCATAAATGAACTGAACCCCTAAAGCTCAGCTCTTAGTTTATCAAAAACGTCGAAATCCTTCTCATTGCAATCAAATTTTCTCAATAACTCATAAGAAAAATCGAATTTTGATTAAGCCGATGTTATAGGTATCACAAATACTACAAACTTGAGCAATATCGAAATTGCCAGCAAAAGTTTGAAATTGCATTGCTCATATTTGTTTTGTAAACTAAAAATCTGCTTATATTATTCATTAATTTTTTATATATTATTCATATACTTTAATAAAAACAATACTATTTCACCTTAAAAATGAATTTCATAAGTCAATATTATTTTTTTGAAAATGTATCAATTTTCGATTAAAACAACATGAGAATAAAATTTACGCAAAATTATTTTAAAAAATGGTTTTAAAAATTTACAATTGATGAAGAATAAGATTGCAAGAAGTTTTGAAGTTTAATTTTAAGAAAAAAAATTCGGATATTATTCATGGATCTAAGTAATCTGATATTTGAGTATCGGCACTATGCATAAAACATATATTTATAGTTTTTTTGGAGTTTTATGATTTTAAATATATTCAAATTTGGCAATCCAATAGATTTTTAAAAAATAGGTAAATAAAAATAGATTACATATGCAGCAGATTTAGAACATGAAACAAATCTTATAGTGACCCAAAAAAAAATTCATGATCCAAAAAAGAAAAAAATTGGCAAAATGGGAATCAAACCTTGGCATAATGAATCATTATGTCAGATGTTTCCACTACACTAAACCGGCAGTTCGCAAAATACCCTTGGTGGTTCTATTTCATAGCTACTCCCAACGATAGGCGGTGTCCCCAGCTTTAGAGGGGTGGTAAAAGTAAGGAAAATCTGGGTATTTCCGTGTGACGATTATTTCTTTAGTGAATAACATTATCTGAAAGAGATAGAAGTCTATAAGTTATATTATATAGTTTAGTATTGAATGTTGGAAAAATACATGTAGTTAACAAAGAGATGTTAGCAAATTAAAGATATGAATTTCTTCAATATAATAGTTAGATTTATAAATATTGAGTATAAGATGGAGAATGGTTGTGTATGATGATATATAATGAGGAAACTATACATTATCGTATCTTTGTTATTTTTTGATATTTCAATCTTTTGCAAATCAAGGATTATGCCTGTGTCACTTATATAAATCAAATGTATTTATCATTCTAATGATTATATCATATTTAAATATCCATAATTTTTTATATAAGCCTAATAAATTAAGCTTTATTATAAATTTGCGATATTAGACAATTTTTATGATATACTAGAATAATACCAGTGAATGTGAGATAAAATCTAAAATATAAAGTATGAATTGCTATATTAATATCAATGAATTTAATAATAATGCAAATAAACAGCAAATAATTTAATTATTGCAATATACTATACATTTATATCACAAACAGCTAATTTGTTTGAGAAATAAAGGCGAAATTGATGCTTTTATAATAGTTTGTGAAAAATTGAGATAACTCATTGAATTTACATTATATTTCAATGAAAATTATCGCAGTTCGAAATTCAAATATTTAATAAACCAAACCTTCTATTTAATTTTACAATGAAGATCAAAATTTACAATTTCAATTTTTTGATAAGAATATTTTTACAATACTGACATAATTTTGAGTTCTGGAAATCTCGCCAAGTCTGATATTTGTAAAGTTACAAATATGCCAACTACATTAAAAAAAAGTTTGGCGCAAAAGTGTCATTATCTCATGGTGGACCACAGTTGGAGCTGCTGCCGACAATCCACTTGCTGGGATGCTATGCAGCCTTTGATATGGCCAATTATGGTGCTGCTCTCATCCACATCAGCAAGCGATTTCGGCATCAGATCTCCACTTGGTCTTCCATGAGAGTTTTGTAAGCCAGAAGCGCAATACCTGTGCAGTCTGGCTGCTATGATATAGTAGCCAGACTGTGTAGGCATTGTGCTTCTAAGGATGTTAGTTATACGTTATTGCCCTTATACGTTTATACTACGTCCCTCTGGTCCCCAAAGGACTAAGGATTCTGTAATTACTCGAGCAGGGCAAGGTTCTTCCGAGATCTTTCGATGAATTAGAGATCTCGGAAGAACCTTGCCTTAAACTGCTCAATTACTGTTCCTTAGCTTTAAAAGAGCCGGAGGTTCTGTAGTTGATCTAATAAGGCAGAGTTTTTCCAAGGTCTCTCATTTGATGAGAGACCTCGGAAAAACTCTGCCTTAAGATAGTGTACTTGTGGTCTTTAACCACCTGTTTGTCAGGAAATGTAAATTTATTCGACTAGAACAAAGTTTTTTCTGAAGTCTCTCATTTGATGAGAGACCTCGGAAAAACTTTGTTCTAGTGTAATGTAGTTGTGGTATTTGTCCCATAAAGAGCGAGAGAACTTGTCTGCATTTCGTTTATGCTGAAGTTTTCTGGATTTCTCTCAAATGAGGAAGGAAATCCAGAAAACTTCAGCATAAGTTAATACTATTGTGATTCTCTAGCTCTTTGCCGGCCAGAGAATGAATAAAAAGTGTATTAAGTTAGTAGGCCGATGCATGCCTACTCACTGCAAATATACGTTATTTTTTTATTTGCTATGAGAAAATAGTTTTTCATTTTATACTAATATATGCTCTATTACTTCATAAATTGTCTATTTTTCTTATTAAAACCTCATTTTTCGGTGTGATTCGGAATCTACGCATTCCAAAAATGCGTTTTCCGTCTTCAGAACGCAAAAATACGCATGGTATGAGGAAATAAAGAGATTTTTTATGTTTTTATTTTTTACAATTTTTCGATCTTGATCTAAACTCAAAAATAAGCAAACCATTTAATAGATCAATATGGCAGTCCCAACGGGAACCGCGGTAATTTACCGAGGTTTCCGCACACCGGTTCCTTTTTTTAGGAATTTTTTAGATTAAAAAATATGCTTTGTAAATCATTTTTTGTAAATCGGCAAAAATTTGGAAATATTCTGACGACAATAAATCTGGGAATAGTATTTTAAATACGAGAACAACCTATTTAAAAGTGTTTCGCTCGATTTTGTATAATTTCAAATTTTCGCATATAGCTTTCCGTGAATTACCGTGATTTTACCGCCACATCAATAGTTTACGACACTTTTTCCGTAAATTGAGTAGTTTACTGCACTTTTTCAGTAAAATTGAGTTACGGGAATCCGTAAGATTACCGTACCTCACTTCTAGTTGAAAATAGCATTAGTATATAATAAATAGATATATTATTCATATTTTTGATTTTGAATTACAGAAAAAGTGAGTTCAGAACTTCCAATTATTATTTGATTAATTATGTTAAAAATACTATAAGGAATTAAAATACATAATGTTGAAATTTGAATTACGGAAAAAGTGAGGGTGAAAGTGAAGTGAAAAAGTAAGATATTTTTTGTTGAAATAATCATAGTTGTACAATTTTGAAACTATATGTAAAGCTATAAATTGAATAAATTCAAAAACAAAAATTGTTTATTCTTATTAATAAATTTATATTAATCAATATTTGAACAACCCGTAATTAAAATTGAATTCCTCTTAAAATTTAATCCATACGTTAATTTTTAATTTGCTCGGCGAATGCCGAGCTTCCCTACTTCTCTTGTCATTCCTTCAAAAACTCTAATCTCATCGCACTTACAAACATCATGATTTGATGTATTGTCGAGAAATTTTAGACTTGTTTGTCATTTGATTATAGCATTTGAAAGTCATCTCGAAAATCGATTAACAAGACAATTTCCCAAACATCTACATACAAGTAGATGATGGTAAACCCATTAGAGTTGTTTTGCTATGATTCCTCCAATCTTATGATGAGAAAAATCATATCAAAACAGCTCTAATCGAACATTCTACACAGCTTAGCATCCAGCTAGTTCCAAGTAATGCGATTACAACATCAACGGCCAAAGCCTTTCAGAGTCCTTTAATCATTTCTTCTCATCTCAATGTGAAGTGGCCCCAAACGAACTACAAGCTGACGTTACAACGCATTACAACCCGGTTAATACGAGCATATACATTAGAGCTGCTTTGTTATGATCTCCCTCATCAATTGATGAGAGATCTCATTATGAAGCAGCTCCAATCGAACTAAAAACCTACATACAAATGAGTGAAAACAAACTCATTAGAGTTGTGTTGCTTTGATTTCTCTCATCAGAAGATGAGAGATACCAGAACAAAACAACTCTAATCAAACTTTCTACACAACTCAGCACAGTATCAATGCAAAGTAATGCGTCTGTATCGTTAACAAGCAAAGTTGTTTCGGGTCCTTCCATTTTGGAAGAATTCGGAACAACTTTGCGAATTGATAGTGTAAACCCATATACATGAAAGCGTGCATGCATAAAGACAGGTATTGTCAGCAATGACTACCTGCCCAGCTATGAGTGATCAGAGAATTACCATATCAGGCTTTTTGAGAACATTTCAGCCAGGACCCTCGTATGTTGACTGTGAGAAAGGCATCCTTTATCTGAAATAGATGCCTTTCCAACAATCAAATTCGAAGATCTTCGACGTTGTTGTAAAAAGAGAAGGAGAAGGAAAGAAGAGGAAGGAGAGGAAGAAGGAAAGGAAAAGAAGAAGAAAAAAAAAGGAAAAAAAGAAGGACATATTAAATATAATGCGCACTTAATAGTGCCGAGGCGGCGGAGCCGCCGAGGCGCAATTTTTTTGACCCTATATTACCGCACGGCAATGTTTTTCTCGATTTTGTACAGCCCTATAGATCATTCAGAATAAACTATATCTATCATATTTCATTTTTGAAAAAATCTCAAAAAAAATCGTATTTCCAAGATTTCGAAATACAAAACAACATTTTTTGAGATGAAATAAAGAAAAACAATTTTTTTGGAATTTTGGTGAGGATGAATCTTCTTTATTTCCTCATACCATGCGTATTTTTGCGTTCTGAAGACGGAAAACGCATTTTTGGAATGCGTAGATTCCGAATCACACCGAAAAATGAGGTTTTAATAAGAAAAATAGACAATTTATGAAGTAATAGAGCATATATTAGTATAAAATGAAAAACTATTTTCTCATAGCAAATAAAAAAATAACGTATATTTGCAGTGAGTAGGCATGCATCGGCCTACTAACTTAATACACTTTTTATTCATTCTCTGGCCGGCAAAGAGCTAGAGAATCACAATAGTATTAACTTATGCTGAAGTTTTCTGGATTTCCTTCCTCATTTGAGAGAAATCCAGAAAACTTCAGCATAAACGAAATGCAGACAAGTTCTCTCGCTCTTTATGGGACAAATACCACAACTACATTACACTAGAACAAAGTTTTTCCGAGGTCTCTCATCAAATGAGAGACTTCAGAAAAAACTTTGTTCTAGTCGAATAAATTTACATTTCCTGACAAACAGGTGGTTAAAGACCACAAGTACACTATCTTAAGGCAGAGTTTTTCCGAGGTCTCTCATCAAATGAGAGACCTTGGAAAAACTCTGCCTTATTAGATCAACTACAGAACCTCCGGCTCTTTTAAAGCTAAGGAACAGTAATTGAGCAGTTTAAGGCAAGGTTCTTCCGAGATCTCTAATTCATCGAAAGATCTCGGAAGAACCTTGCCCTGCTCGAGTAATTACAGAATCCTTAGTCCTTTGGGGACCAGAGGGACGTAGTATAAACGTATAAGGGCAATAACGTATAACTAACATCCTTAGAAGCACAATGCCTACACAGTCTGGCTACTATATCATAGCAGCCAGACTGCACAGGTATTGCGCTTCTGGCTTACAAAACTCTCATGGAAGACCAAGTGGAGATCTGATGCCGAAATCGCTTGCTGATGTGGATGAGAGCAGCACCATAATTGGCCATATCAAAGGCTGCATAGCATCCCAGCAAGTGGATTGTCGGCAGCAGCTCCAACTGTGGTCCACCATGAGATAATGACACTTTTGCGCCAAACTTTTTTTTAATGTAGTTGGCATATTTGTAACTTTACAAATATCAGACTTGGCGAGATTTCCAGAACTCAAAATTATGTCAGTATTGTAAAAATATTCTTATCAAAAAATTGAAATTGTAAATTTTGATCTTCATTGTAAAATTAAATAGAAGGTTTGGTTTATTAAATATTTGAATTTCGAACTGCGATAATTTTCATTGAAATATAATGTAAATTCAATGAGTTATCTCAATTTTTCACAAACTATTATAAAAGCATCAATTTCGCCTTTATTTCTCAAACAAATTAGCTGTTTGTGATATAAATGTATAGTATATTGCAATAATTAAATTATTTGCTGTTTATTTGCATTATTATTAAATTCATTGATATTAATATAGCAATTCATACTTTATATTTTAGATTTTATCTCACATTCACTGGTATTATTCTAGTATATCATAAAAATTGTCTAATATCGCAAATTTATAATAAAGCTTAATTTATTAGGCTTATATAAAAAATTATGGATATTTAAATATGATATAATCATTAGAATGATAAATACATTTGATTTATATAAGTGACACAGGCATAATCCTTGATTTGCAAAAGATTCAAATCTGACATTTAGGTCATATATCTAATTTACGTTTACTACTACCTTATATTCATAACATATTTATAAATCTCTTTACCACTTAAAGATTACGCTAATATTTCCAATTTTCCTGCATTAATTATTTAAAATACTGCAAAAAGTTTGGATTTAGATTATATATTTATCATAGGATACATTTATGATTTTATTACAAGACATATCTAACATTAGATCTTAATAAAACCAACAGCAAATCATGATACGGATATATCACTAAAATTAAATAATCGTCACACGGAAATATTTTAAAATACGAAAGTTTTGCGCAAATTCAATTCAAAATAATCGTTTTGCGCATTTTTTGCACCCATAGGATAACCCCGTCACTTTTACGAAAACTAACATTCAAAATATTGCATTCAAATATGTCACTTTTAATAATGTTATATTTCTTGTTTTTCGTTCAGAGTATAATAAAAGATGATGCAGGTGAACTCATAATATATGTATCAAACAATGGTAAAAGTGATGGTGATGGATCTTTCGAAAATCCGATTTTGCCAAATTTTAATCACATAAAAGATTTTATCAGAAAAAACGCAAAATCAACAGTAACAGTTATATTTAAAGAAGGCATATACACAGCCAATGATTGGGCAATAATGGGCTGGGATTATGATAAAAACATTATTCATAAAATTAACTTTTATGGTGAGAAAGGTAAAAATGTCATCTTAAATGGCGGCAAAAAGTTAGAAGATCATGGTTTCCATTGGAATAATTTCCAAAAATATTTAAATATTGCAAGATCACCAAATGAAAACGAATTAGCGCAACTTAAAGGATATGAATTTGAAAATGACACAACAAACGATTCATTAATCATTAGATACTTCACAGTTCAAAAAGACTGTATTGATTTATTGAAAAAACTAACAGAAGAAGAATTACATTAAGTAAAATTTGTTGTTTTCCATACATGGTATTGTGACAGTGAGCCAATCGAAAGAATTGATGTTGAAAAGAACTTAGTTATTACTAAATTTAACAAGAACATTGAAAAAGAATTTTATTCTGATTTCTCAAGAATCCGAGCCGAAGATTATTATTATCTTGAAGATTCTTTATGTTTTTTGACACAACCAGGCGAATATTATCAAGATAAAGAAACAAAGAAGTTGTATTATTATCCAAGAAAAGAAGATAAACTAAGTGAAGTTGAAACTTATGTTTCTGTTGCAGAAAACATTTTTGTTTTCAATCATGTTCAAAATTTGACAATTGAAAATTTGACATTTTATTACACATCAAAGAATGCTTTTAGTGGAATGAATTTTGATCATTTAAGAATATATAATTGTGTATTTAGACATTGTCAATCAGGTGTTTATTTCCAAGCTTCCAATAATTCTATAATTGATCATTGTTTATTTGAAGATATTGGTGAAACTGCTGCAGGTTTTGGCGGTTGTTTGTATACAGGAATTAATAATTCTATCTTTAATTCATGCCATAGAGTAAGTCACGATGGACAAGCTATTAATTATTGGGCAGAAAATGATTATACTTTTGTTACAAATTGTGATATTTCTAATGGTGCTTCGTCAGGAATTCAATTTGGACATAATAATGAATACGATGTTGATAAGGTTAGACATACATTAGTTCAAAATAATCATATTCATCATCTTGGATTTAAGAAAGTTGATGATATTGCAGGAGTTTTCTTCGGAAGACATCCAAAAGGTGTTATTTTAGGTCATAATTGTGTTCATGATGTAAGAACACATAATTACTGCGGAAATGGTCTTTACGCAGATACAGGAAGTAGTGGTGCAATATGGAGTAATAATTTAATTTATGATGTTGATAATAACGCGTTAAACTTGAATTATGGTATGAATCATATTATGGTAAATAATATACTTGCTTTCGCAGAATTCGGCATTTCATATGGTGAGAATGCTCATAGTGAAACATGGACAATTAATGCAAGTAGAAATATCTTTTACATGGGTAAAGGAAATAAGACATATCTTGGTAATTACTTGAATGGAAGAGATACGAATTATCTTGATAATAATTTATTCTATAGTACAGAAACAAATGATTTTAAGTTCTTAGATAAGAATTTTACTGAATGGAAAGAAAAAGGATTTGATGTTAATTCAGAAATTGGAAATCCACATTTCGTAAATCCAGAACAAAGGAATTTTGCTTTTACAGATGATTCAAAAGAAATTTTAGATAAAATTGGATTTGAACAATTTAATTTAACATTTGGTGTTATTGATGTTGATGCAAATGATCATTGGAGAGAAAAAGCAGCATCATATACTTATCCACCAAATCTAGTTCAATATCCAAGAGTTCCTTTTATTGTTGATGAATCATTTGAAAGAGGAGATCAAACAAATTTCATGAAGCGAGCAATATTTTATACAAATGGAAATACAATGGCAATATCAGATGAAAAAGCACATATAGGAACACATTCTCATAAATGGGTTGGTGATGTTACATTGAGTCTTCCATGCAAATTTAAAGAAGGACATGGAGAAATTGAATTTTACTTCCTTCCAAATGAAAATTGTGACACGATACTCGATTTTGGAGTGGAATCATGGGTCTTCATCAAGAATGGACAAATAAGTTATCCATATGGTACAAAGATAGCTGAATACACAGTAAATCAATGGACACAAATCAAGTTTGAAAAATTCTTCAACTTAACAGTTAATGGTATTAAGTATAATTTATCATATGTTAACTCTAATTATGAAGAACTAGAATATGCTAGAATTTCAAGTGTCAAAGACACAATTTACATGGATGATATTCATATATTCATTGATACTCCAGATCATCCATTCTTTGAAAATGAAAAACTTATTTTAATCAATCAAATATCAGGTGGTAATGACGATGATAATGATCATAAGAATGATGGAGATGATAATGATCATAAGAATGATAATGATGATAATGATGGAGATAAAAATGATAAAGATAATGCAGATAATTCTGAAGGAAAATCAGGATTAGGCGCTGGCGGTATTGTTGGAATTGTTTTTGCAGCTTTGATTGTTACTTCAATAGTTATTGTTATTACAATTGTTTACATTAGAAAACACAGGAGTGATGATGAAGAAACTGTAGGAATACAATTAGTATAACTCAAAAATGCCATGGCTAAATTGAATACTAAACATTTTTTAATGATTTTTCATCTTCTATTCGAAAATTAATATCATTTTTTAGTTATTAATGAGGAAATTAGGAAAGAAGATTTTTTGAAAGCAATTATGAATGCTTTAGACTTGTTGCAAAAATATTTAATACATGATGAATTCACTATTAGAACAGGTAAATTCGGTATGGTTTGATTAATATTTTGATAATGAACTCTGTCACTATCATTATATTGATCCATATTACAGTTTATTACTAATACTTCTACATTTATACTAACAATTGTATTTTTACTATTTAAAAATATATTGCTTTCTGATATTGTGCTAATGTCTTGATTGGTAGATGAAGAGAGACAGAAGAAGCCAATCGGTGCAACACACTGATTATATACGAAGTTTAATTGAGAAATAATGTATTTCGATCTTGGATTAGAAAATATAAATGAAAGAAAAAATAGCTCACTGAGAAGGTTAATATGATTTGAATTATTCCGAAAATTAGTGAATCGAATATTTGCGGGTGAATTAGAAACGATAAATGCTGCCAATTCTATCATATTTATATTATTTAATGATGTGTTACAATTTTCAAATAGAATTTTTCCAAATGTTTGATCATAAATATCTATGCATCTGGTAACAGAAACTTGTAAAACTGAATTAGTGGATTCATCATTAACTCTCTGATTAAAACAGGAAGAAAATAAATATATAATACGATTTTGGACGCAATTACCGCATTGCTTCTGTTTGTTGAATGAGGCATGGTAGGAATTAGATTCATTACTACAATTACAATTACAGAAACTTGAATCTTCAAGTAAAATACAGATTTCAGAGTCAGAACCAAAATAAATCACATCGTTGCCGTTAAATGAATAATAGTGGCATTTTGAAATATAAAAGTTAGAATTTGTTGACTCATAAAGTAATCTATAGCATTTTTGACTTAAACTTTCATTCGCTGGTGTTTCTGGAAAGAATTCTTCCCAAGTTTGTTGAAAGCGAACCAATTTTTATACTCATAATTTAGAAAAATTTCTTCAAATGTAAAAATAATCAATGTGGAATGATATCATCTTCGTATTTGTCACGAAGCTATATTTCTTTGGTTGTATTTTGTATTCTCGACAAAATAAAAATGACATTTTTCACTTTTTGATAACCTATCGATTTTTTACTTGACGATAACTTTTATTTTTTATGAATTGCTAAGATTCTCTCTAAATAGTAGACAGTAATGGCCAATACTCGAATAATTATGAAACTCTTGATTCAACTACATCGAATATTGTTACAATTACTATATCTTCAAAAACCAAATTTATTTCAGGTAAATCCCAAAGTAATTATGCCTTCAAAAATTGTAAATCTACTATCAAGAATATTTACTTTGAGTCTGAACCTCAGCTTTATGAAATACAAAACTATTCTTTTTATTTATGTTCAAACCTTGAATCTATTGACCTCAGTTCATGCACTCATTTAGAAAAAATCTTATCTCATGCTTTTGAATTCTGTTATTCATTAACTTCCATTAATCTTCCAAATTCATTAAAGATTTTAGGAGAAAATGTGTTTTCAATGACTAATTTAGTAAGATTTACATTTCCATCATCTGTTACAAATATTCCTAATAATTGTTTTTTAAAATGCACTAAATTATCTCAGATTGATATTCCATTTGATAGCAATATTACAAGTATTGGGAAATGGATCCTTCACGCAACGTTAGTAACAGAATTTAATATTCCTGCTAAAGTAAACAATATTGCAAGTGCTTTTCTTGAGTATTCAAATCTTCAATCTCTTTCTGCGGATAGATTGAATCAATATTTTTATGTTCAAAATTCAATATTGATTGAAGCAAGTTCAAAGACTGTTCACAGTTATCCTCCGAAGAAATCAGGACCAGTCACTATTCCAGAAGGAATAAATTCAATCGGATATGCATCATTCTCTTCGTGTAAAATTACTTCTGTGACTTTTCCAACTAACTTGACTTTGATTAGTGATTTAGCATTTCAAGACACAAGACTTTCTGAAGTTATTATTCCTGATTCAGTTTCTTCAATCGGAGGCTCTGCTTTTGCATTATGTTCATCATTAAAATACGTTAAATTACCAAATAAACTTGTTTCATTAAGATCAAACTGTTTCAAACGAACTAATCTTTCATCGATAGATTTACCGGATACTCTCAAAATTATAAATGAAAATTGTTTTATTGAATGTCCGAACTTGAAAGAGGTTGTATTGCCTGAGAATTTAGATACTTTGAATGGAAAAGTTTTTGATACTACGACAAATCTTGTATTCAAACAAAACTCCAATTTTTATATAAACCAAGATTATGTCATTCTTACAAAAGACAATTCAACATTAGTTCAATACATTGGAGGAAATGAAGCTAAAGAAATTTCTGTTCATTCTAATGTTAATGAAATAAAAGCATCAGCTTTCTCTAATAAAAATTTGTTGGCAAAAGTTATTTTTACATCCGATTCTAAATTACGAATTATTCAAAATAATGCATTTTATAACTGTCAAAACATGAAATTTATTGAGTTACCTGCACAACTTACTATAATTAAAGACAGTGCATTCTTTAATTGTAGTAAATTGGAATCTATTTCATTGAGTTTTTGTGATACAATAGGAATAAGTTCATTTGAAAACTGTAAAAATTTAAAATCAGTGTCAATGGAAGATAGTCCTTTAACATCGATCCCAAAGAGCTGTTTTTCCGGATGTTCTAGTTTAACTAATATCAAACTCCCATCTTTATTGACTACTATTGATCAATCATCATTTTTTGGATGTTCATCCCTATCAAAGGTAACATTCCATGATAAAATTTCTTCAATTGGAGATAGTAGTTTTAAACAATGTAATCTCCAACAAGTGGATATCAGTTTCTGTATCAATCTCACTGAAATAACAGAAAATTGTTTCAGTGATAATTTATTACTAACTGAAATCAAACTTCCGCAAAATATTACAACGCTTGGTTCATATTGTTTCAGTAATACTGGATTAAAAGAATTTACTTGTCCATTGTCACTTCAAAGAATCAATTCAAATTCGTTCATGTCATGTGAATCTCTTTCAACATTAATAATTCCATCTGATTGTAAACTTAATTTCATTGGTGCTGGTTCCTTTAGGAATTGTTTCAGCATTTCCAATATTTCTTGTAATAGTAAGAATTATAAAGTTATTACGGGTGCTCTTTTTGATAGCGCATTATCATCGCTTATTTTGTTCCCACCTGCATCAGATGTTAAGTTCTTTTCACTTCCTGGAACTACAACAAACATTGGTGAAGGTGCATTCATGAGCTGCATAAATCTTCTCAGTATTATGATTCCAAGCAACAGTGTCCAACAGATATCACAAAATGCTTTTGAAGGATGTCGAAATCTAAAGATGATTAATATTCCTATTTGCGTAAAGATCATTGGGCAAGATGCATTCAAAGATTGTGATCAACTTTCATGTGGCTGCCAGATTGAGAACAGAAACAAAACATTTCTTTTTGAACTAATTGAAAAGAGTAAACTTCCAAGACGATGCATCAAAAACTGTGAAGAATTATGTTCATTCAAAAATATGAAATGTATAACATCTCAATTTTTAATTCATCCATTCATTGTTATGTTATTATAATAAATATGATTTTCAATATATGAATTTATTTACACATAATTTTCCATCCCCAATAATAAGTGTTGACTCTGTTCAATACTATTTTTAAACAATTATTAAAGTCAGCATTGCAGTAGTCAAAATATCACAACACCAAGATTTTTCTCATAACATATATTGTAGGCATTGAAAATATTCTATATTTCATAAATATGCTACCGTATACTAAAAGGTCCAAGTATGAAAATCTGTCCAAGGAATGTGTTCAAAACATGGTCAGCTATATTCAAATTGCTGGCAAAAATATCAAAAAAAAATCAGATGCAAATTTTATAGAATTCCTTGGATCAAAAAAAATCCTTGGCACTTTTTGCACCTACCTAAAGATTTCGGATTGTTTTAGTCCTCATTTGATAGATTTGTTAATAAACTTCGTTTTTATTTCATTTATGAATTTCTTGGCAGAACTTGCCACTTAAAAGTTTGACCAGAATTTCACCAGTAAGTCACGTTCTGTTGGCATTAGCCATAATTTCATTGTTAATAGCATTCAGCAATGAAATTAACATGAGTTATGTAATTAGCTTTCAAGGTTATTTCACAAATTATTCAGTTATTAAAAGATTTTTTTGCGCAAAATGCAATAAAATGCAAGGGTTTGTCTCACCATTTATAACTAATAATAACTTGCATAAAATTGCTTATGTTGATGATGTATGGAGTAAATTTTTCGATATCAGTGATGATCCCATTCATGTAACCGAAAGTCAAAACATTTGGAACTATAATGAAAATTGTTTCATCCACGATGTTATTTTTTCAAGCTTCACATCAAAAATTATTTACTCAGCAAATCATAAAATGCTCATTTATAGATCGCTATTCAAATCAAATTTTATCCAAGAACTCAATACAATTATCCAGCAAAAAGGAGGTGCTTTTGTGCTATATCAAGTTTGTTCAATAAATTCCGAAGGAAATATTAGTTCGTCAAATGCATTATTTTTAACATCAGAAAATACACAAAATATTTTTATTGATACTTCATTTTCAGATTCATCAGCTAAATGTCCATTCATTAAATCCAATTATCGAGAATTCCTACTCAAAAACGCAAATATTTCTAATATTTATGCAAATACTTATTATTCATTTCTTGAATGTTGGTTTAATGAATTATTTATTTCTTTTTCAACATTCAGCAATTTATCTTCAATATATGCCTTTTATCATTATTCGAATACTGGAAAATTTCATCATCTCAATATGAAAAAAATCAATACTCAATCATATAGTATAATACGATTTATTTTTAGTTTTGATTTTTGCAAAAGTATCATAATTTATAACTCCACTTTTTCCGAAAACACTCGATATATTGTATATGCAAATGGCAATAGTCAAATAACCATTTCACAATGTTATTTTAGCCAATACTATACATCTAAAACCGAAAATGGTGCACAGGTAAATATTTCAACAACAAATTCTTTATCTTTAGAATTATCACACATCAAATTAGTAAATTGCACGGATTTCAAGAAAAACTATATATTCATACAAAACCTGAGAATTACGAATAATCCAATGGTTAAAGGTGTTGATACAACAATTGAAATATCAATGAATGTATATTGGAGCGATGTTGATACAAATGTTGATGTTATTATTTAGATTGATGACAATCAAAATAACCCTAATCATCAAGCAAAAAATTTAAATAATAAACCATCAGTAATATCGACAAGTATTACAATTCCTGGTGATTTATCTTTTGAAGAACATGCATTAAATGTTAAAATCATTTCTAAAGATGGAAATGAGTCAAGAACTTCAAATTCTACTTTTACATATCGAAATTCGGCAACAATATCAATTACAGATTGGTACTACAACAATCAAAGTATTGCTATCGTAGGAAAAATAGATTTGATAAACAATGATGATGCAGTAAAGATGACTGCTTATTTTAGTGAATATAGTAATCTACCTAAAATAGTGTTAATTAATCCTTCTGCGAGAGAAGATCCCCTTCAAAATTTTGATTTTATCCTGCAATTTCCCAACGAATTTAAGTATGGCAAGCATTCGATCAATATTAAGGCTTATAATAATAAAAAGAGAGAGATTGGCAGCACAACATTTAACTTTGATTATATAAAAACAGCAAGGGATAGTATTTGTGTTAATCCACAATATTACATTCGAAGAAGATAAATATCTGTTTAGGATTATATTAAGGCTGCACTTACCACTTTCTGACATGCCCTCATAATTTCAACATATCTTTATTTTAATAACAAAAAAGTATAACAGTCATATGAGGTACTAGGTAATGAATTAAAATAACTTTTTCCCTCGATTAAAAATTTTAACTTTATATCATAGAAAATTAGGATATAAAGCATGTGTGTCAAAAAAATTGAGCGAATGTCAGAAAGTGGTAAGTGCACCCTTAACTTATAAGAAAAAATCTCATTCAAAGAAAGTCTTTCCAGCATGGATCAAATTTATTGACTGGGAAAAATTTTGTTATGTATCATTACCTGGACTAAAATTTTTATTGTAGGTGTTTAATCTATTGGAAAACTATCAAATTATTGTATTTCATGTTGATCATATCAGGATATTAATGCATCAAAAGATATATCTCATTTTTGGCAACACATTCAAAAAAAAACTGTTTGTAAAATTAATGATTTGATATTATTTTATCCATATTTTGAGATAAGTTAAAAAAAAAAAAAAAAAAAAAAAAAAAAAAAGGAAGTGGGGCTTCCAGGGGCTGCGCCCCTTCTAGCCCCGAAGATGTTTAGTATAAATGAAGTTTTTATTCGGAAAATTGTTAGTCTTCTGGTGTGAATTCGGAGGACTCTTCTTGGATAGAGTTTTGTATTTCCTCCTCCTCTTCTTCTTCCTCCATTGCTTCTGGGAAGAAGCCTTCTTCTGGGTCGAAAACATTATATAATGTGTAATTGAATGACACATTATATCTTTCTTTGAGTTCGCTCTTGACAAAGAACTTAGTTCCAGGAATACAGAAGACTTCTGTGCGTTGGAAAAGCTGATGTCCTGGAACAAATTTGGCAATTAGAGACTTCTTTTTTCCGAATTGTTCAGGAGTTTCCATGACGACAGTAACAACATCTCCATCTGCGAGGTCTTGTTGTTGTTCGGAAAGGTAAAGAGCAATGATATGAATGGTTGCTGCGTTGAATTCGAGAAAGTCGAATTCAAATTGTGTTGTCGTATAGCATTCAAACCATTTTGTACAGTTGTCTCCGAACTCGTCAGTGTATTCATCTTGGTCATATCCGTAACTAAAGACTTGGAATTCGGCAATTCTCTTGTCGAATGACCGTTGCATGTAACGAGGAAGATTTTGACGAACTTGGTATAAAGTTCTCAACATTATGAGCTTAGTAAATGTTGGAAAATACTGAACTAAGACATCGCTAAGCTCAATTGGACTTGGAATTGTCTTAGTAAGTTCAATTGAACTAGCAATTGCTTTGTTCAGAACTTCACAGAACTGAGTATTGTATATAGCGTCTGGTTGTGTGTTTTCTTCGGCGTCTTTGAGATATTTAGAGCAAATTTGTTGAAGAATTTCTCTTAATTCGCTGTTAGACTTTTTGGCGGTTATTCTAACAGCTGTGCCAGTTCTTGGAGGTTGTGGGGCTTTGGCTTTGGTTAGCGGTTGAGAATTGTTAATGTTGGCTTCCATTAGACAAAAATAAAACTGTTTTTTTCGGACTACTCATAGAAAAGTTTAAAATAAACCGTTTTCGTCAACGGTAACCCCCTCTATTTTTTTATTTTATTGAAAGGTCTCCGTTGGCAAACCGTTCCATCTCAAATATTGAATGAACTATAAACGTTTTTTGTTTTCTATACATACTTTTTTGTCCAACGGTAAAACTTTTTACACAACGGTTTTTGAGAGTCGTCGCCGTTGACTTTTTTGTAGAGCACTCAAAATAGTATAACTTTGTCCGACAAGTAAGGGTCTATCGTCGCTACAGGAAAAGTTACAGGCGTTCCAAGGAAGTACTTTGAGAAGCCTTTTCCCCTTATAGAATGAGATAGGACGGTTATTTTACAAAACTGACAACACTTTGACCGAGTAGTTTTTTGTGCTGAACAAAAAGTGTCATATAAACATCTGTCAAAAACCGCTTTTTAACTTCACTTAAAATGCCACGTAAGCTACGTAAGAATATACGTAAGAGGAAGAGAGCATTGAAACATCCAATAGTAAGACTGACACCAACAACAGTTGAACAACAAATGCTGAATAACCCACTATGTTGCAACAAATGTCAAGCAATCCTATGCTTTTAAACCGAGTTGTTGGTGCACAGAGTGGAGGTTTAAGAGCGGCACTTTTAGCGAAAATGGCAGGCTATGGTGGAGCTGCGACGAGACAGCCTATAACCCTCAAAGTCAAATGAATTTGAGTTCACTCAAAAATCAAATAACAGATGTCAAAAAGTCAAACATAGACATACAGAAACAAATAAGTGAAAACGAAAAGAAACTAGAATATGACAGACACACAAAGAAACTCAATGAGTTAAACGTAGAGAAAAAGAAGAAAGAAGAACAACTGAAAGAACTAAGTACAGAGGAATATGCGAAAAAGTGTCAGAAAAAGCAGCAGAAGTAGCAAAATGGAACAAGATGTTGTAAATTTGAAAACCATACTACTCAATATAAAGTACTGAAAGTGAAGAGATAAAACAAAAAGCCCTGAAGACATATATGGATAGCGATGAGTATAAAAAAGAAGTTGAAGCAAATGTAAAGGCAGAAAAACTTTTACAGTTGCAAAACCAACCGTACAGTATGAAAACTTAGCACAAAAGTAAAATAACGACGCAGCCATGCAAAAGGCAATGAAAAGCGCAGAGTATATAAAAAGCTAACAATGACTGGTTAGAATGCCCAAGCCAACGCTAAAGCAGCCCAAACTCATAGGTCAATAAGGACAAAAATACAGCGGATGAAGATAGTTCAATGAAGCTTTAAACAAATGCTGACTTTAAGAACGCTTCGAAGCTCTTCATAGTAAGGTGAAACAAGTGAACGACTTCTCATCTGGAAGAAACTGAGTCTGAAGGTTTCGACAACGAGTTAAGAGAAGTAGCACAAAATATGACGAAAATAACAGATGCAGCAACGAGACAGGCAGTTCAAAGTGCCTATGACGCCGTTAGAGCAACTGTTGTGAAAAGTCAAGAAAAAGAGTTACAACAGACCAAAACAGACCTAGTAAATGCTTTCTTAAAAACGAAAAGTCAGTAGGACATTACGCTGCAGATGGAACATATGTGCCAGCTGGTGGAATTTATATACCACCAAACCCTCCAAGAGAAGCACCTGCACCAGGACTACCTAAAACATTTACATCGTCACATGGACATAGACACAGGCATGCACCAAAACCAACACAACAACCAACAGTTCAAAACCCTGCACAACAACAACAACAACCAACACAACAACCAACAGTTCAAAATCCAGCACAACCACCTCCACAACCAGCACAGCAACCACAAACAGAGCAAGGACATAAAAGAAGTAGAGAACAAGGAAACCAAGAATTCTTAAAAATGCTTAAAGAAGAGTGTGGTTTCCCAGATACTGTTGACTTTAGTGACAGATATAAAGAAGCTATTGGAAAGTTCAAGGATGGAAATACTGACCCGAACCTATTTAGCTTTATGGCTCAGCACCAAAACGGATATAATCTCAAACTGGAAAATACAAGCTCGCTAAGGGATATGATTAATAGCATATCATCCAAATGACATGGAATGACATTTACTCCGAGATATTTGATGTCAGAGCTAAATGACAATTCAACTTTCGTCATGAAACGCGTAAAAAATAGAGACGGAACGAAAGAACAAAAGCTTATGATGCGGATGACGTAGATAGGGAAATTGTTGAAAACGGTCTCGGAATATATGAAATGCCAGCAGATGAGGTACAAGAAACTCCACAGGAAGAAGTTTCAGATACAACCAGACATGGAAGAAATAGTTCAGCAACAACAGCTAGAAGAGCCTGAAGGAAACGAACAAGTCCTTCCTTTGGAAACTAACTTCACAGAACTAGATGAAGATTTGGAACAGCCGAAAAATCTTGACCCTCAACAAGAGCATGAGGTGAATATGGAATCTTTCAAGAGTCTAAGAAAGATTCGGCTGACATAGTAGAAGAATATCGAAAAATGTTTGCCGACATACAAAAGACTCCAACACCAGATGAAAATATTCAGCATAGAATGAAAAGTACTGAAAGAAATGTACACAAATACAACAACCCTTTTTACTTACGAGCATTTAACGTTCAATCTTCGATGAACTCGGTGAAAATAAAAGGTTAAATTTCAAGAAAAACATATAGAAATGAAACATTGTTTAAAGTTCATTCAGAACCTAACCAAGATGGAAACAAACCTACTTTTGTTTCTGCAGACGATGGAACTACAATGAGATGGGGTCATAAAGCTAACCCGGATAGGTGGTTCATAAAACTTACAACCACAATTCCAAGAAGTTGTAGACGCAATGGAAGTCAATGGTGAACAAGATAGCTGGTATTTTAAGCGCGGCTTTAATGCCATTGAAAGATATGAAAATGCAGATATTTTGGACCAGTATGAAATGAACATGGCTGATGGAAAATATAACACCTGACGTTCTAGAACATTTATCTCAAAGAACTACACAGAACCATAGAGATGGTATATTTGGTGAAGAGTTAGAAAGAAAGTTAGGGAGGGGAGAAGGAAGAGAACCTATTGTACATGACCTTGCAAACGAAAGTTTACAAAATGTCATAAAAACTTACTTTGCAGACAATGAACCGAGAAGGGATGAATATTTAAGAAAACTCAAATGGACAGTACCAAATGAAATGTTAGTATTGAAAAACATGTTCCTTGACAAAATAAAACCAACTACAGAAATAAACGACGCAAGACTGAAAGATTGGGTAAAAGCTTTCCCATTCACAAAAGATATAATTGGTAACATGGAAAGAAAACCAGAATGGCTACAAAAAACATATATTTGGAAACGAGCTATTCCATATGGACAGGCACTGTTTGAAGAGCTTGAACCGCGAAACTCAGGACAGAGTCATGCAAACAATACGCAAAGACTCAAATACAAACTATGACAAACTCTTTCTAGGATATAGGTTACCTGAGATGGGCGACCAGAGCCCAAAGGCAAAAAGGACATGGGAAATTTACAACATACTAGGTGAACATGAGGCAAAGATGCAACAACTTGAAGCAGAGGGCAATGAAGGAAAAAGAAGAGTTAAAAACTCAGTCAGGAAGAAAGTAAAGCTTGGTCCACGTGGGTTCTATTATGACATATAAATCCAACTATTCTATATTTTTACTCATATGAAATGTACGCCGCTCAGAATATAACGCAACAGTTTTGGATGCTATGAATGGAAATGTTTCCGAATGGTATAACGAATGCGACAATGCCATTAGAAGGTCAGAAATAGTTCCTGGAACTTACGAATATACAACTGCTGTTTCTTATGGAAATGTAGGTGAGTTTGGAGAAGGTTCTTCAACAACAGTAGATATTGCTTGCGACAGGTTTCATATAATTTCTATTGACAACTCATTCTTATACGTGGAACAAGACATTGAAATAAAACCTTCTGCCAAGTTGTCTGACAAGAAAGGTTGCAATGGAATTTTCTATGTCGGATACCAATATGCTCCAGAAGTTTCATGGGATATAAGATATATTCTAACTCTGACTTAGTTCAAACAGTAACATGGGCAAACTATGAATGGTTCGCTTTGAGAAACTCAGTACAACCACAAGCTAGAGAACAAACAGACCAGTATGCAACTATTGAGAAAATAAGAAGACTTGACCCTAACGTTCCAGGAGTTTATGTTAACCTTTCTGGACAAACTGCAGCAGCAGTAACAAAGTAAAACTGAAACTTAGAGTTCCTTTGTCATCTTTCCTCATCTTCAGGTTTTTAAGATACTTGCCAAACTGGGCAGGAAAAATTTCTATCGAACTTACTCCAAGCAAAAATAACTTAGTCATTGCACCAACACAAGACCCATTCACTCTTACAGAAGTAGTGGGAACAAATAAAATGTCATATCGCCGACTTTTGCAAAAACAAAGTTGACTTAGACTTTGTTCTCAAACCTCAACACTGAAGTAAACTATTATTTCAATGCTGCTGGAGATGCTTGGGACCCAGTTAAGTTCACATGCGAAAAGTTTGAATGCAAGAGAATAGAAAGCAGACTTGCAGTCTATATGTTGGACCCAGATATTTCAAATGCTTTAGCTGCCAAATATATTGCAGTTCCACTTATGTTCCCTATACACCAAATATCTGTCAAAGACTTTGCAGGTGAAGTTGGAAACCAAAGTGCTGACCCAGGTGCAAGAACAAGATATTGCTTTAACAACTGCAATGAAACATGCAGATACTATGTTTGTACTGTTCAGACGAACTATAAATGACTATTCTTGCTTCTACAACCCTGTATTAAATACCATATAAACATAGATGGCAAATATTATCCAAGAGAAGAATATTCTACAGTTGAGGATATGAGGTTACAACTTGACATTAGATGCTATGAACTTTAACAACAACTTCACAACAAACCATTAACCCTGAAATGCAAATTCTATTATGCCATATGTGAAAGTATGGACTCATACAGGAAGTCAAAAAACTCAATATACAAATGGAGACCGTTCAAACTTTTGGCTTGGCATTCCATTTGCTGACTCAGAAGACTTTATGGGTGGTATTTCAACTGTTGGTACAGTTCAAATACAATATACTGGTGACAGAGACGGTCCAGATGAATTGAAAGCAAAGAAGTTTACAAAACCAATAGCACTTTTCACGGAAGATGCTCTTTGAAGATTCGTTCGATGAAACCTGCTGGGGCTCCTCAGATTGGTATAACGACAGCTTCCATCGAGCAGATTTGGCAGCAGTCAGTAAGTTGTTCTTGAACTGACTTCTCTCCGTCAAATATTGAAGTACGCCAGTTTTGATATAATATTGTATTATAAACTTACCTTTAGAAATATCGGTCAGTTTTGTTGTTATATTTTGTCTGCTTCAAGAACTTTCACCATCTCGGTTATACCAACTTCTTTGCTTTATGAAAATATTTTGGTTCAGCAAAGACTGCCTATTCTATAACATTTTCCATTGTTGTGTAAAGAACTACTCTGTCAATGAACTTGTATTGTTTGTGTGTGTAAACTTTGTTTTGCTTCAATTCGAAGAGATACTCAAATACGTCCATCTTTTTATTCTAAGTAAAATGTCATTTCCGAAAAATAGAAGCGTAAGTGTTTCAAAAGGTTTAATGGCGGTGGCAGATGTGAAGTTAAATTCACCAACTCAAACAAACAGTCAAAGTGTTGTTGTCAATGTCAAAGAAAGAGATGTTGAAGTGGAGAAACCATACGAAGACGAAGATGGTATAGCAATAGTTCCTGTAAAAGAACAACCAACATACCCTGAAGTTAGCAGAGACTTAAGTTCTGTTGCAGATATTCGAAACGACTACCAACAACTTAAAGACAAACTTAAAACTCAGGAGAAGATTTGTCAAGCTTTGGGTATAATGTTAAACTTGGTCGAACACAACCCTGTAAAAGTGAACTCATATGTCATTGCACCTCATGAAGTTTTGAAAGAACTATTGAAACTTTTGACAGAGGCAGACGATATAAACATCAAAGAAATAGAACCCGACATTGCTTGCTGTGGTGTTTCATACAATGTCATTGACAAGATATACGTTATGAAAGGAGGTGAAACGTTGAACTTAAAATATAGTTTCCCAGACGTCATAAAAATATTTGACGACCACAACATTTCATTAAAATTTACTTGCTAAGTAAATGGCAGAAGACATAGTGGTTTATACTATTACGACTAAAAACCCTGAGTCATATAATTCTATAACAACAAACTTACAAAGTCCTCAAGGACGATATGTAAACTGACCTTAAACACGATGACGACTAAAGCCTGTTTTGCTCTTTTGACACCAGAAGACTTTGTTGTTGTGAATGGTAAAAAATACTTCTTTGAAGATACTTACTCAGATATACCACCAACAGGTTTTGTTGACTTATTTAATACTTTAAGGACGGATGTAACATGTGCTGCAACTAGAGCAGGTTTCATTATGTTTGGATGTCCGACTGAGTTTACTATAAACGATATGAGCTATAATACAAAACTTATATCTGGTTTTTACTACCAACAGTTTCCTATAACAGGAAAAGGTGTCATACAAGGTCTATCTATTCCATTGACTTTAAGTACACCTATTTTATATATTGTTTCAAACTTAGGTTCAAAGTGCTATTCGAATGTCGACAGAAACTACTATGACCAAAAGATACTCATGCGTATAAACAACACTTTCTCTGCTGGTTTGCCTATTGTTCATTCGAATGCAGAGTTTTCAGCTTTAGTAAACTCAAACACTTTGCAAACATAACGTTGACATTAGTCGACGCAAACTTTGTTCCTGTAAAAACTTTTATGTCCTATGTATTTGTCAATGACGGCAGAAAGTTTCGAATTGGAAGATGCAACTGGTGAAAGTATTGTACTACAAGAACAACTTCAACAACAAATAGCTCAAGAACAACAAATGCAACAAAATGCAACAACAAAGTCAAGAATAAAAAAAAATATTTTTTTTTTTTTTTTAAAAATGTACAGAATAGATGTTTCAGATTTTTATGACTTCCAAACATTCAGAAATATGTGTCCATTTCGAGACTATAACAAAGCAGTCGAGAATTTGAAACGTTTAGTCATTTATGTCGACTCTGCCCCAGAATGTTATGTCATGAAAGAATGGGATGTTGTCTTTAACAAACCAAGAGCAACAATAGTGTCTGAACAAGAATGTAGACAGAAACTTAAGAAAATAAAAGTTGTACAAGTTGGAATGAAGATGTTAGATGCTTGGGATATCTTATTGTCAAAGTTAGAAGATTTTTCAGTTCGTGTATAAAGTTCTATACACCATCTCCAAACTTCTATTCTATCTTCACTGGATATAAATACGAACAAGTAGAATGGAAAAAAATGTTATAGAAGCTTGGTTAGACCATGTCAAAGAAATTATATGCAATGGAAACGAAAGAGTCTATGAGTATATCTTATGTTGGTTTGCAAACATCTTACAACATCCAAGTGCTAAAAATGAAACTGCTCTCATTATAATTGGAAAACAAGGAACTGGTAAGAACACTTTCTTTACAGATATTTTGTGCAAACTGTTAGAGGCTATTCGAACCCTAATATGACAAACTTAGAAAACATCTGCGGTAAATTTAACTCTTCAATAGAGAATATGAAACTTATAGTATGTAACGAACTTCAAAGTATATATACAAAAGGTTTTAAACTCAGATGCTTTGAAGAGTCTTATAACAGACAAAGTTGGAGTTGTTGAAAGAAAATATAAAGACCAAAGAGTTTGTGAAAATGTTGCAAATTCATCATGGTTTCAAACAATGTTGTTCCGATGAAGTTAGAAAGTTCTGACAGAAGATATGTAGTTGTCAGAACGTCAGATTCTCATATGCAAGATACAGAATATTTTGACGACTTAGCAGAAACTTTGACATCTGACTTTTACAACCACTTGTTCTCATATTTTATGACATTAGATATTTCTAAGTTCAATCCAAGACAAATTCCACATACCGAAGAGAGACAAACATTGTTAGAAGCAAACAAGAGTGTATATGAACTGTTCATAGATGAAACTGACTTGTGTCATTAGATGAAAGGTCTTTATATGATGATATAAACAATATTGTCAAGAATATGGTTATATGGCAGCTTCTAAACGTACATTCTTGGCAAATGTCAAAAATCTTTTAGATGTTCAGAACGGCGTATATACAAAGAAAAATTTTTCTGAGTAAATTTTAAAAAAAAAATATTTTTTTATCCGATAGAAAAGATGATGAAATTCATCTCAGTAAATAAGTACATGTCAGGACTTAAAGAAGAACTAGACCCATTCACATATTTGAATGTTTACTTCTACAATTTTGAAAAGTCTACATTTGACAAAATTTGGAACATTGCACCAGTTAAGTTTGCTGTTGTGACTAAAAATGGTGCGAAATTTGAAGACTTAGACATAGAAGGTTTGTTAGCAGTCAAAGAAAATTTTGACAGAAAGTTCTCAAACTCGAAGAAGGTAAAGCATACAAACTTGTTATACCTTATGAACCAAAGAAAGCAGACGACTATGAATATTATGAGTCTAAGATAGTTGAAGTTCAAGGTAAATTGGGTAAAAAGATTTTAGAGTCTAAG